ATTTCTTTTTCTCTGAACAGCATATTTTCAGCTTCCAATAATTTTACCTGTAAATAAGCAAGAAAATCAGAAGAATGCTATTTTTTAAGTTGGAATTTCAGCAAATATTTAACATAACTTTCATAAATAAATGAATTACTAAAAGACGTAACTCAGATTTCTTCTTATTCAAAATGAAGAACAAAGCCCCATGTAGTAATCATATCTTATATCTCATTGGAAAATTGTTAGTTTTGCATATGGTGTAGCCCTCAAAGTGATTATACTACTATAGGGATTCTCTTGTTAACCCATTGCCGCCAGGGATGGCATGTACGTACATGCCATGCTCACTGTGAGTTGACTTGTTTGATTGTTTTTACACATAGATGGCTACACTTGTACTAAGTCACCAATGAGCCAATTACGAGTACTGTCTGTCTCGCCCGTTCACCCTTTTCATCGATTTACAAAAATATTTAATGTTATGCTAATTTGCTGTTAAAAATAACACCATCTATATTTACAGCACTAGTAAGATTACGTTTTTTCCCGCCAATTCAAGGAAAGGTGAAATCAGGACTAGCAGAGCCATCTATGTACAGAGATATTTCACAAAAATATAAAAAATGAGTACAGTATTTTTCCCATTTTTTGTTCATTTTCCCTGGTGGCAATGGGTTAAAACTGGTGAATATCACTGTAGAATAAAAATGTTACGTAAATCAAAAATGTACATTCTTAGAGCATTACAAATTACAAACTCAGAGTATTAATGGTCTTACCTCATATTTGCTAGGATTTGCCAGTTCAGATTCATTTTGGGTTAAGTCAGCAACAGATCTTGCCAGTCTCCAAGTGCTGCAGTGAATGTAGGCATAGTCATGCGTGAGAGCTGAATTGCCGAGTATGTAAAGTGCATGATTGGCAGACACCAACAGCTTATCTACAACATCTGCATCTCTGAAATAAAAGTAAAAATAATTATACAAAGAAATATTTATATATTACTAGTAAATAACCTTTCAAGTGGAGAATGATATATAATACTTTTCTCAAATTTACCTGTGTATAATCAGAATATCACTTAGGCTAAAGAAAACAACTAATAATGTGGAATATTGCCATTTAAAAGGTTTCCTTGGGAAACAAACAATTGTAGAACTAAACAACTATACCTACAAATAGATTTACAAGAATAATTCTCCCGCTATATCATCACTATGAAATTGATTATTCCTGCATTTTTACATGCAAAATAAGTTTCTGTTTGAACAAATGAAAAAAAATAGTAGTTGTTCTGCTTATTGCTTCTGTTATGATGCCAGTAGCTAAGCCGAATGAGTGCTTGAAACTCTGGTGTTGCTGTTCAGTTTTGTATGCAGTGCAAAATTATCTTTAATGCAATGTGCAAACTACATTTAAAAAATTACATTGTGTATGTACATCTGCCTGTAATAATAAGTTAAGTTTTAACCTGATTTCCCTCTAAGGAAGATCAGAGAATATCCAAAATAACGAGAGAAGAGAAGAGGCCTGAATATGTCAGAGAACATTAACAGAAATAATCAAGTAAAAGCAAACAGGGGTTATCACAACACATCATTCTTGTACTTCTACAGATTTAAACTTGATACCTATCTTGACCTAGTAAAACTTGGATGACAATCTGGCTGTTCACCTCTTTACTTTGAGTTTCATGAGATAAATTTTCCGGTAGTGGTCACCCACAAAATAACAATGATTAAATAAAAACTAGACGCATGCCTGGCTCAATATACAAATGAATTAGATAGACATGCAATGTCCCCCAACCTCTGACCCCTCCCTCACCCTACTAGAAGCATGGATTGATTCTACATAAGATGACAACTCTGTTGTTTGAAAGTGAGTGACAGAAATGTTGAGGATGACTTAAATATATTCAAAGCTGCAAAATAGAATTCAAGCAAAAACACCTATCCCAAGAATTAATGTTTACTTAACCCTTTAACTATGAGGTATCAAAAATTCACAATTTGTAAAGAATCCAGAGGGTCACAGTGGTACCAAAATTATTCAGGATAAGACAGAACACAAATAATAAACCAAAATCTCCTTTAACCAACTTCAATTACAGGCATGCTACCAGGATCATCTGACTAATATTTATGTTCACACTTGTCTGTCACCTATATATATTTTAACACTTTTTTTTGAAAATTTTATCCTCTCTGAAGATTGTGTCCATCTCAGAATAGCTAAAATTAGGAAAATCACATATTTCAGATACTACAATCTCTTCCATAATTTTCATCATCCTTGTGGCATCTCACCTCAGTCCTCTATCAATCTCTCCTCCACTAATAATTCTTGCAACAGAATTTCAAGTACATACTTCAACAACCACTTACCTTTTGCCATTATCTGGTAGCACCATTACTGAAGCTCGGACAGATGACAACAAAAGAAGCTGGTCTTTTTTGGGGTGAAAAGAAACGTGGAAGCGCAAGTTGGGAAGTTCTTCAGCCTCCACACTACC